AGGGCTCTGGAGGTGATCTGGTTTAGGAGGCACTGCAAAGACAGACATTGTGGCTGCTGAGCATCTTTGCAGAACAATGAGCAGCTACAGTAACAAATTTGCCATGTGAGGCAACAACATTGCAAGTTGTGTATGCAGTTTGCAGGATTTTAAACTTACCTTGGGGTTTAAAAGGTGATCTCTTCATTGGGCTTTTCTCATCATCTTTTTCTGTACCAATTTTTGACATCAGTTCTGATCCAGAAACTCTGCCATGAGCATGGCCACCGTTGTATGAACCCCTCACACCACTGCTCACATCTGAAAACAAACACCGTTACTACATCCACACATGCTTTCTGTATGTTGTAGTTATTGTAGTCATTTGGTTACACAATCAGGAAACAAACTAAACATTTAAACATTATAAAATCATTGAGCCACAATTTAAACGTTTCACTAGTATCACAGATACTGCCTCACAGATCCTCCTTTCTGCTTTCGGGGAACAACATAAGACATCTCTAAACTGAAGAAGATGATTCAAGGTCATTTTCCTTTACCAACATTTCTACTATGGTTGCATTATTAAAAGCTCTGATTTTGGTTTTTAACCTCGTTAAATGTTTTTATGCATGTGTTCACTGGAAATGTATTTTTCCTGCTTATTTTAAAGCATTTCTTCTTCAGCTGCTAAAAAATTTATTTTTACAACCTTGATTTATGAAGAAGAGTGCAAGTGCCATTCATATATTCTTAGTTTTTTTTAAGATTTATAAATCACAAAAGTTGTTTTTATTTCTAAGTAAAATATTTTTTTCATTTTCTGAAAATGTTAGCGGCCTCCTCCAATTCTTGGCACCACGGTTGTGGAATTCTCTCCCACTTTCTCTTCACTGCACACACTCCATTGATTCTTTTAAGAAACAGCTGAAGACATTTTTATTTAGAAAAGCATTTGATTAATTTCTTCTTATGCCGTTTTTATAGTTTTATTGTTTTACATTGTTTTATTTACTGTTATATTGTTTTTATATTTCCATTTCCTGTGTTGTAAAGCACTTTGTGATTTTTATCTGTGAAAAGCGCTATATAAATAAATTTTACTTACTTACCTAACGTACTGAAGGGTTTTAGTAGAAAAAAAAAAGTGTGCTAGTCCATTTCATGCTTTCAATCAGGTGGTGATTTTCCCACGATGATATTGTTATTAACAATCTTGTTAATATTAAAAAGTCGAGTACCTGAATTCTCTGCAGTGACTGAATAAAGCTCCCTTGTCATGCATGCACACACAGTAAGGGTTCTTTTACTTTCCAAATCCTCCACAGGCATTTTTCATTGTTAGTTAAACTGGTCGTAATATTTGATCTAATAAGAATCCTCACCCAAACCCCCCCACAACAGTCCCTTTAAAACAAACAAACAAACAAACAAAACAGTATTTATGGCTTCATTGAAATCTGACCTCTAACTGTATTGACTGACATCCTTACCCAACAACAACTACTTGCAGTGTTGGGAAGGTTACTTTTAAAATGTATTTCATTACAGAATACATGCCCCAAAATGTATTCTGTAACGTATTCCGTTACGTTACTCAATGAG